TGGTGACTAACCAGCATTTTAGCTGAAGACTCATTCTATGATATATCATAAACTATGTAATCCCACTCTTTAACTCAATCCTATTAGCAAAAACTAGTCCTCAATAGTACAGACACTGGGATATAATTTGTATGACTTATTCAACGTAACATTCTAATATTTGTGGATATCATCGCTAACTGAATAACCATAGAGATACTACTTAGATGTACAAACGGAAATCGGTGAAATGATATTCAAATCTTGAAGCTAATATTCGATGTATGAGAGTTTAGACTGTTGAGTTATTAATTTTATTATCGTCTTAGTAGCAGATAAATTGTTTGATTTTTGTTTTTAGTGTGAAAAAGGAAAGCGTGAACTTGTATGCAATCGCAACGATCCCTTCTGAAAGTTGAAACTACATTCATTTGTAATCATATTATTCAATGTATATTCCTAACTTTCATGCTCCGAGTTATTTGTCATTTGGTTGCAAAATGATATGATTTCTAGTAAATCAGTTCATTGTATATTCATAGCACTTATATAAATAATTCAAATATCGTCCTGTGGTATCTGAAATCGTGAATTTGATTAACTCGAACAATGTAGGATGTGAAAATGTAACGCAACATCTTATTTCTCCATGATTTCTGTGAATTTAATGTAAGTGTTAGGCCAGCTGTTGAGGTGGCATAAATGACAGTGCATTAATAAGGTATTCAAAGATTCGAGTGGTTTATAGATTGACAGTCTAGACAGATACTTTAAATAGGAAAATTGTACTATCTTTAGCTCCCAGGACATTAAATATAGTTACCTACACCACATAAACTATTGTTGACTTCTTATATTGGTGGTACGCTTTAGTGTTCTAATCATCTAGGCTTTTCCTGATTCCATACTTACTTACGCCTGTTACTCCCAATGGAGCATAGGCCGCTGACCAGCATTCTCCAACCCACTCTGTCCTGGGCCTTCTTTTCTAGTTCCATCCAATTCTTGTTCATTTTTCTCATGTCTATCTCCATTTCCCGGCGTAATGTGTTCTTTGGTCTTCCTCTTTTCCTTTGACCTTGAGGATTCCATGTGAGGGCTTGTCTTGTGACACAGTTGGGTGCTTTCCTCAATGTGTGTCCTATCCACTTCCAGCGCTTCTTCCTGATTTCTTCCTCCACTGGGATCTGGTTTGTTCTCTCCCACAGTACGTTGTTGCTAATAGTGTCCGGCCAATGGATCTGAAGTATTTTGCGTAGACAATTGTTAATAAACACCTGTATTTTCTGGATGATGGCCTTCGTAGTTCTCCAGGTTTCCGCCCCATACAGTAGAACTGTCTTGACATTTGTATTGAAAATCCTGACCTTGGTGTTGGTTGACAGATGCTTTGAGTCCCAGATGTTCCTCAGTTGTAGATATGCTGCTCTTGCTTTGCCGATCCGCGCCTTCACATCTGCATCAGATCCACCCTGTTCCATAAGTCACTCATTATTCGTCTCTCACTGAACCAAGAATATTTTTCTACAGAAACAATAACCAAATAACTTAAATCTGATACTTAAACGAAATCATTCGATCGAATTGTCTACCTAAGGGAGCTGAAAAAGCCTAGTTCGAAATTTTAAATGAAAAGTATGGACAGCAGTCTACTGAGTTTCACTGTAGAACAGCACATTCCGTAACGTAGTCTGTCTGCTTGGAGAAATAAAGATTGTTAAAGATTCCCATTGTGAAAATTAGAACAACACATATAAGCGAACAATTGTTTTCAATTAGATCGTCATCAGGCTTTACTCTAATATACATGAATATTTATACGAAAATTTTAAACCAATCAAGGCAATATGAGTCAATAATCACAATGAAATAGAATAAGTCACTACACATAATAGGTAAAAGTACAAGTTGATAGTACGAAGACAGGTGAACAGATAGTGGTAAGAATAATAAACTACAATAACAAAACTCTTATCAATAGTTAATCGTTGGAAATAGAAGGTCAAATAAACATGGGTAAATAGACTAGGAATAGTAATCACAAAACCTTAAAAATCATTACGTAATAAGATGTGTGTAAATAATTAGATAGTGAAGAATACAAAGAGGCGGATAATGACAAACAAATAATGGATGTGGAAATAAGGTTAACAATAACACAGATAGAATAAAGTAAATAATGATAATAATAAAATTTAAAATAAAAATAAAAAATTGTTAGTTAAGTTATAACTGGCCATGGAAGGGATAGGGGAGTCACGTATTTCTTCTGTACACATAGATTGGGGTTATATGTACGAATTCCAATGGCTTCAGCTATATATAGGAGACGGGAACGGACTCCGTCGGGGAATGATGGAGGTATACGATAGACAACTCGAAATGATTTCGATTTCTCTACTGCATGACCGCTATCAATAAGATGTGCTAGTATAGAACTGCGAATAGTTTTTCTCTGACCCTTTATGTACCAAGTTGGTAGATGTTCACTCATTCGTTGGTTAAGTTGCCTGGTAGTACGCCCTATATAGCTATCTCCACAGGAGCAGCTGAATTTGTAAATGCACATGGAAAAGGCCAACTCAGGTAACTTATCCTTCGTTTGAGTAGACATCGCTGGTCGACAAGAGAAGGTCAACGCAAGATTGGCTGCGTAGAATGTCTTGGTGATTACTCTGGTTAACCTATATTTCAGAGTGTCACTAGCCACATCCCCGTTGAATTGCACTTTCATGTATAAAGGTTTCTTACGAACAGTCGAAATCTCCGACTTCTTTATTATATCCTGCATGTATTTCTTGATGAACGCGCTGGGGTAGCCGATCTCGGTCAGTGAGTTGTTGAGAAATTCAAGCTCCTGACTTAGAGTGTCTACTGTACAGATCTCTTTTGCTCTGCTCGTGAGACATCTGACCAAATTTCTCTTGTACCGGATGGGTGCAATTTGAAGTGATCGAAATGACAATATATGAATTCACTTTGTGATACAGACGAGAAGACCTCATACTACCACATTTTGAAACACTAGTATCCTATCATTCTCGCTGGTTTTATCCTGATGTAACAAATTACACACACGTCTCGAAGCATCTTTAGTGTGAAAACTAGCGGTACCACTCCTGATAAGCGGAATTGTATGGTCATTTTATCCAGTTAGTATACAGTCGTTTGAATATTTATTAGCGATCCCTTCAACTTACATAACTTTAACGTCTTGGTAGTAGCTTTGGGCCTTACGAAAAGTTTATGTAATCTTGTTTACTTCAATTGGATATCGTGTTCAGAGAGCGGTCCAACAGGACACTGAGAATATTCCGATTATTAACGAAATGAAGATAGATTAAACGACTCAGATAATTCTTTGCTACCGACTACCCAATCAAGCTACTGCAGGACGACGAACTAGTCATAACGTACAAAAACGCCATCTTTCAGTGCCCATGTTTTCTTACTTAAACACATACCGATACCGAAGGGCTCCTAAACTTACCAGCGCTCTTAGCATGAGTAATCCCCGTTTATTATCCAAACACTTAGGAAAGTACCTGGATTGTTCGTGTATGTGCTCTAAAGCTCCGGATTACCATCTAACTGTTCCAAATACAGTTGCTTTTAAAGAACGAGGTCAGTGGTGACCTTAATCAACTCTGGTTTTTAAATCCCGGAAACCCCTTGATAAGATTTCACAAGCTAATATCACTCAGAATCGAATAATTGCTTAGATGGTTTGCCAGTCAACGCGCGAAGTTGAATTACGGCTAGTACCATAAATCGTCCACACTAGATAATGTGCTGCTCGAGGTGTGCTATCTCATTTCGCTTATACATTCAATAAAATATATTTTGTCTAGCAGTGACCTTAACACAGGGCTTTCAGCCTGAAGTAGTATAGGATTCAAAAGAACATGATCAGATTAATCATGTGGTGTTGAGGTGTAATGTGCTGCACTCCACGCTACTTGGCGATCAGCTAAGTAGGCCAAAACTTAGGGAGCACATATGCTTCATTAGATCTAGCACCACGCAGCTTACGGGGTGTAAAAAACCACCGGTCTGCTCCATCCAACTTGTTTCTGAGTGCTGCTAAACTGTTTTCATCAACACGAAGTGCCCACATAGCACGCAATGAACCCCTTACAGTCCCAAACAGTGTAGCTTTTTATTCGATCGCATTGTGAATTACAAAGGAAATTTACTAACCTTGAGAGCTCCAATAACGCACACATCTGAGTACAGACGTGATATAGTAATATTGTACCACTGATACTCTGAGGATCTAGACGGTTATCCTTTGCTCACTTGTTTACCAATCGGCTAAACGAGTGGTAGTTTAGACATAGCCACTTTTTTCGCAACATTCAATTAGTGAGTACCACGTCTCAGCTGATTAACGTTCGCTAAAGGTGAATGGTTTTCTCTAAGCATTACCTTACTATAAGTACTTTATTATTCAAACACTACACTTAGTTCATAATTCACGCGATGGCTCAAAACCCAATATCACGAGAGTAGAGCAGCACATTTAAGTTATATTCGAACCTACGCTGACAAAATCATGTAGAATATCAAATTCAGAAGTACATCTGAGTTATGGGAATTAATATATACAGAACAGGTAATTACATTTCGATCACTACGTATCTTAAGTCATTAAGTACATCCAATTCCATTTGCGACTTACCTAGATGCTACTTTGGAAATCCTTACTACTCACAGGGTGGCGAGAATATGTTCTTGAGCTTGAAATTACTTTAGAAGACTGAGTAGTGTTAATAACCCTCATACAATGCGACTGATTCAAGTACATAGCCATGCAGCACACAAAGCAGAATCATCAAAATGGATTTGCCAACCACTACTTCTGTTTGTTCGTCACTTATCTATGCTACATACTGACGCAGACTAACTCAACCTAGTCAATACGATGAAGCTAGCATATAAATTGTAAGCAAGACTTCTTAACTGGGCACTATTTAATAGACCAGAAAAGTTTTAAAGTATATTTACAATATGTACAAGGCAAGAGAAATATTTACTGTTTTTTGCTGCTGTTATTTAACACGGTAAACTTGGTCATTGGCTTGCCACCTATACCACACGTCCCAACACCCACACGACCGTCCAGGGCTTCAGGAGAGGCGAAGATACTTTTCTTTGTCTTCCCAGTTTTGATCATTTTCTTGCTGAAATTAAGCCAACGGTTTTTCTCCTTTTCGCAAAACGACTCAATCTCTACTTCCCTTTGAAGAAGACGTTGTTTTTTAATCTTCTTCTTTTCTATAGCACGAGATTTCGTGTCATGTCTGCAGATTCAATTGTAGAAATGTAGGAACTTACTTTTTCTTTTTCACAATAGGAGTAACTGTCGTGACCGGCTTTAAGTGACACAGCTGCAAAAGAAACATGCTTGCGATGAACGTGATGTATAGAGATCAAGTATTGTAATATAAACAAACATCTCAGGTTTGTTTAAACCAAAATATTCACTCACGATTAATTTCCCCACGAACCGTTGATTGCTGTCATCCCAATTATCAAGCGGACGGCTTCAAAGTACCATACGTCTCGTGCTTGAATGTATACAAAAATTTAACGGCAGCCGCAAATGGTAAGACAGTTAGGACAAACCAATCTTTAAATAGGTATTTTCTAGCTAAAACGAAGACCTAATCACGTAGACAAGTTTTATTAAGATTCTTCATAAGGAATATGAAAAACTAAAGTCCCATAAAAGGCTTATAATTATATAGCTGCTACAGTTGCTGGGCAAAAGATCAGTTCCCTACTTCAGACAAACTCAAAAGCTATCTTAGTAAGCCTACCAAGTGGACAAATACAGCAAAGATATAAAAATGTAGCAAAAACACACCTGGCATACGTCCGTTGTATCGTACATATCGAAATTAACGACGCAGCTTACATCCCCAAGAAATTCAAGTATTGTAGCTCGGTAGTAACTACTAAGTAACACGAGAATTCAAGAAAACCTACAGTTTATCACGGGAGCACATGGCCATGCACTGATCGCCAACATTCCACGATACTTCTGGTGTATCAGATGTTCTGCCCAATAATTCAAGTGAGAGTTTGATGACTTCCTCGAGATCTCGTTTGAGCTGGAGAAGTTCCCCGTTTTCTGGATCTAGCTCGAGAGCTGCTTCGACCTGAACATAAAGAAACATAAGGCACTTGAAACGAACCTGCTGAAGTTGCAGCTTGTGGTTCAAAAGGTCTAATTGCGGATCATCAGACATCTTTGGAAACCAGACCTGTATATGGCGCTATATACGTTGTCAAACTATTAAAACTAAATATGCACTGATAACATAAACCTAGGTCGGTGTAAAGTTAATGATTGAGATTTGAACTTTATTACGTTAAATAATCATTCTGGTAATTAAATTTGTGATAAATGGCTTTTATGTAAAAATTGGTTTAGAAAATATGAACTTTGTCAGGGACGTGTCCGAAATGGATATCTTTCATGCTTAAACGGACATATAAACGAACGAGGCGAAAAACAGAGTTTGTGAGCGCGTTTTAGGGTTGGGAAGTTTAGTCCTAGCGTGATTTGCATTTCTCAAACTTTTGCTGTCTTCACGCAACAAAAGTACCATTTTTGATCCAAGTGATCTGTTCAGAGCTTGAAGTTCGTCAGATTACTCTTATTTTTGATTATTTCTCCAGTTAATAGATGACTGTGATTTTGCCGTGGCTTGTTATTTGGTTTTTCAGTTTTTCACGTCAAGCCTAGTTTCAGTATATCCTAACATTATGCACCACTCATTTTTATCCGTTTGGAAAGTGTTATTTCTATTTTACGGTCGTAAAAAATTGCTAATATCTATTGAACAATTCACCACAGTTGTGCAGAATCCATGCAATCGACCCGGATGCCGTTTTGTATCATCTGGCATGCAGTATGATAAAAGCAAAGTTTGGTTCCACGAAGCGTGCATGGATAATACCGTTACTGCTTACAACGGACTTAGTAAGTTATCAGGAAACATGGAGAAAGGTCGCCTTAAAACAAATAAACGAACAAAGACATGCAATGAAGGAAAGAAGAGGGATCTTGACATCGTTAGTATTAACGGGGCATGAATTAACACTAGTGAGTGCACGCCAAAGCTCGGCATCGTAATACCATGGATAGTACTAGACTCTCGCAGCAAACAAACTAGTGACGATAGGAAATAAAGGGACCTCAAACAAGCAAGAAACCAATGCACAAAGGCAATAAGAGAGGAAATGATTCAGTACCACATACAACTAATGAATAAATCGGCCTCCTATCCGAAAGCCTATTCTGTCATGCAGCCTCTTTCAACAAGCTGAAATCGGAGTTTACCAATTGTTAGTTCTTAATAGCCCAATCGACAACGGCGTCGATGTCGTTACGGTTCTGGCAGAACAGTATTTTCAAACACTATAACCCTCAATTACAAACTATATCAACGGGAGTTTCACCAGCAATTCAAGTGGATTCTCAGGAGTGAACCTGAGTGCTGACTTGGTGTAGCAGAACTTGCAGCACATAAACAAGAACTCTTCTTCTGGCCTGAATATGATTCAGTCCGCTAAACTACGGAAAGTGGCTTCAGTTTCGACGAAAACGCCTGGTGTGTTGTTCACATACTTGCTAAGCCGAGGCACGATACCAGGAAGTTGGAAGTTGACTCACATTACTCAAATTTTCAAAGGGGGTCGAGGCAGCGAACCTTCAAGCTAACGGTTGGTAACACTTCTCTCAATATCCTCAAGAGCTGTAAAGTCACTGATATAAAACGGTCTACGTGACTATTTACTATCCACAGACGTATTTTCACTCCAACAGCATGGTTTCAGATACGATTACTGTTGTATACCAGCCTGCTGGCCGCGGTGGACATGTGGACAACCATCCATGATCTCAATGGGAAGGTTGGCGTCATATACGTTGACTGCTCAAAATGTATTGATATGGCCGATCACGTATGTCTTATCAATAAGCTTGAATGATTAGGTACCAAATCACCTTTAATTGACTGGCTAACCTCATATTTACAAAATCGACATTTGAAGGTCAGAGCTATGCATTGTCTTGTTGGGGCCCTTAGAGTTCAGCACTAGGACCTCTTCTCTCCTCGACTTATACAAACAATCTTCCGCATAAGGTATCGTCAGATTTATTTCTTTTCGCTGATATTATGAAAGTTAGGAGAGGATTGCTCAATTATGAGAATGGACTAGCACTTCAGGAGTATCTAATTCGACTTCAAGGTTGGGCAGACGACAACAGGCTTAACTTTAACACATCATAGTGCAAAGTAGTTCATCTGAGACATGTTGCAGACTAGAAATACAACTTAGACAATTCCCCTCTAGAAGTATCTGAAGTTGAGAAAAATCTAGGAGTGTTTGTACCCTACTATCTGAAGTCTTATGCTAACTGTGTCAAAAATGCCTTCCAGCAAACCTTGCTTTTGTAGAGTTGGATAGCATTTTCATCCAGTTTGGAGGGAAGAATTTCCACCTAATCTTTAATAATTTTTTTTGCCACCATTTAGAGTATGAAAACATGGTGTTTCCTCATTCTCTTCAAAAGGATAAGACATTCTTGAACGTATTCAACAGCAAGCCATGAAATCAGTTCGAGTACTTGAACTCAAGTTCTTTGAAGAAGGACTTCAACCACTGAACCTTTACTCAAAATAGTACATGCATCTTGGAGGTGACTTTTTAATGACTTATAGCATCCTCAACATTTCTGAGCATCCCCTTAAACACCTACTTAAGCTTAGTCCCAGCTTGAACCCCAGGGGTAACACCCAGAAACTGGTGACTCGACACAGCAGAATGAACTGTAGATCCACCTTTTCCTCCTCAGTAATAGGCAAATGCTGGAATTCACTGCCCGCTGAGCTAATCCAAGCGGCTTCCTCGGAGTTCTTTAAGAGGAAACTTGACATATGCCTAAGGACTAGTGACTGTATCTCACTATGATTTACTAATTGTTTTCTTTTGCCTCATTCATCGTTAAATATACCCATGTTGTTACCTGAAGGTGACGGTGATCCACTGATACTGTATACGGAAACCCGTTTAGCGAAATCTTCGAATCCGTCTTGAATCATTTGAGCTGTTCTTTTATAATATGCTCCGTGTACACTGATGTTACTGTTTATATTATGTCTGTAGTTGTTTTCTCTGGAGTTTACTTCATAATTTTTTAACGATTGGTTTTCGGAATGTACTTAATCAAGCCATACAACAATTTTATTCTTACGGCATTCTGCCCATTCGGTCAAGGGATGTCATACATATTGACTATTCTATACATAGTGATTTTTTAGTAGCATTTTGAGCAGTGAATAATACTGATCCTTCAGTCATTACTTGAGGAAGAATATCATGAAGCTCTTTGAAGCTACCGAAGTTTCAACAGGGACTATATTCTATCGGTGTTATTCAAATGATGTATAACTTCTCTCCTTGATGGAGTTTGATATACAGGCACTCTAGTCAAAATATTCATATATGTACACGATTTCTACTTCGAGGATTCCGCTCCAACTTTCGCGTTTCTAGGTAAATTTTGGGAATCAGTTCTCACTAAAACCTGTGACTGGGTAGCAAAATACCTTAGTAACACGAGGTTAGTGCGAAGATTATCTTCTGACCTACTAAAACAAAGGAACTAATAAGCTCTACACTTCAATTGCTCTAATATAGACACACGACATATTGCCGGTGGATGTGTGTACGAATCACTCTGTATTGAATATATCTATCTTCAAATTAAGGACACTAATGCAAGCGTAATGTTGACTATTCTAATTCAAACAGATTGCCGACATCTTGTTTAGATGTTGCTGTGCAACTATTTTCGCTTTCATCTGAGTCTTGAGATTCGGGCATGTTATACACGAGAAGACTGTTGTTCTCCTAAGTTTATGACACAATTTGCGGACTGAAAGTGGTGAGGAAGTGACCGCAATATTTGTGGAATTAAGTGATTTTGACCATAGCAATAATGGTATAATGATTTTTTTGCTGAACAGTGGCTCATCGCCTTCATCTAAATAAACCAGGGATTCAACGTAGTCTTACTGATATAAATCCCTTTAACTGAGAGTAGGAGTAAAGTCACACTAGATCTTGCTAAGGACTAGTGTTTCTTTGTTTTAAAACACATGATGGCCACTTTGAAAGCGGATATGTGTCGTCTTGGGAGATACAAAGATAAGTAGAGATAATCAACGGGATGCATCGAGATTACAAATCGAAATTTTAGAAGCAGTTACTGCCAAGCGTTAAAACCTGAGGTTATGAACTTTATATTTGCAGAAAGACTGAGGCCGGAAATGTGGTAAGATGGCCTGATTACCGTAACTCTTTTACGGAATAAGGTGAAGGATTAATGTCGAACTTCAAACGGTCACCGGATATTTCAGGACTTCCAACGGAGCTGGATTTATTTGTGTTGTTTAAATAAATCGAGATATGTATTTTTGTTAACGTTCGACATTGACATTAGTCATTACATATCTAACCGATAATGCTAACCAAATGCACTCCAATCAAGCATTGTGACGAAGTCCCGTGAAATCTCACATCAGATGCATCAGCTTCACCAGGCAGTTAGTTTATAAATAATGTATCCTCCTATCTTTGCTCATCGTCAAATATGAGGTTCCTTCCAGATGTCATAACTTTCCATCACGTTAGCCTTCCTGGTACTATTAGTTTAGGATTTGGAAATCAGTATTGTCTGACTTTTGTGTCCATAATATTTCCATTAGTAAACTTTTCACATGGTATTATGTATATTGTATGGCTTTTGAACTCTCCTAACCTCTGTATCATGTGAATTTGTACAACTATCTATCTCATCGTTAGCGAGTAAGTAGATTGCTTCTCAACATCGAATTATGATCAGCTTTGGCATCAGAATTGTTATGAAGATTGAGAAAGATTATGATTTAACAACAACGCTAAGCTCCCTACAGATGAGAAAGATTGGTTGATTCTAAGAATAACTACAGAACTGGATAGGCAAATCACAATGCACGATGGTATCTTTGCAAACTGGCTTAACAAAACTTTGTAACTAAATATGAATCACACTCGGTTTTATCTCTTACACTGATGAAACACTAATTTGCCTTGGAAGAATATCTACACTAGATACCTTCCTAGTGTCTATTCTGCAGGATTTCAACAAAAGTGGAGCCATGAACATGTTACTGGCCTGGCTTGTACGTGAGTATAT